GCCGCCCTCTCCCACGCGAAGAGGGGGTCGTCCGCGGGCACGGCGCTCCGGGGGGCCCTCGACGGCGCGTCCCGCTCGTCCCGCTGCTCCTGCTGGTACAGCCACAGCGCCGAGCCGAAGGCGGCGTCGTCGTCGTCGTCCGCTGCGCGGGTCCTCCTTGACCTGTTGACCCTGGGCGAGGTCACGAGATACGAAAAGAGGTCACCTACTTGACGCGGCTGAAAGATGTTTTAGCCTGAAAATATCCTGTTGAAAAAACAGGAATTGATTTTTATCATGATGATATGCAGTGCGAACGAATGCCTACATTTTGTGTTGATTTATTTTCTTGTTTTTACAGACTGGCTATAGAGCCTTTTTTAATAACAGTGATGATGATGACTGATAATGGTGATAAAGGTGACAGAATATTCAAACACCGAAAACATGCAGCTGAATTACTATAAAGATTACATTTGAACATCAGTAAGCTAATGAGTTTAGTTTTCTTCTGATAACAAACAATTTATAGCAGAGAAAAAAACGAAACAAAAACAAACTCCAGCCTTACTTCTTGACGTAGACATTATCCATGATGAAATCCTCGAAGGCGATCTGCCCCATCACCTCCTGGTCCTCGCTGCCGCCCACGCCCGTGTCCCGACAGGCGCAGCAGGAAGGCGTGGGCGGCGCCTGGCACGACTCCTCGCCCGCCTCGGACCCGCCCTTGGCCCCCTCGTCGCGCACGTCCTCCTTCGTCGCCGGCGTCTTCCTCCTGGCGAGGCTGACCTTCTCGGCCTCCGCCAGCGCCAGCATCTTGCCGTCGATGTACTCGCGGGCTGGGGGCGGCGGAGGGGAGGCGGGGGGGGGGGGGGATAAGAGTTAAATGATATATAGCAGTGATTTATAGATTTATAGCAGTGGTGATGATGATAAGGATAAGGATAATGATAATAACTAGGATGATGATGATAATGATAATAAATATAACTTTGGCAATAGTAATAATAGTTATTGATAATATCAACGACGGTAGCAATGATGATAACAAAAACAATACCATAAAGAACAACAAAAATAAAAGAATAAAACTAATAAGATAAAAAACAAAACCGCTCTGATTCTCCGGCTGCAGAAGTGGAGGTCAAGGAACGGGGAAAAAAAAACAGGAAACACCTGCTTTCCGGCCTGCAAAAGAGGTCGAAGGGAATCCTGGAAGAAAAGAGCCTGGAGAAGTGGAGGCCAAGAAAAAACAGAAAAAAATAAAAACTAAAAATATTAGGAACACCTACTCTTCGGCCTGCAGGAAAGCAAGAAGAAAAGAGGAAAGACACTTACTCTCCGGCCTCCAGAAGAAGTCCAGGGGAATCCTCGCAGGAAAGCAAGAAAAAAAAAGAACACTCACTCTCCAGCCTGCAGAAGAGGTCTAGGGAAAAAAGAAAGGTCTAGGGGAAAAAGCCAGCCTTCAGAAGAGGAGGTCAAGGAACAGAAAACAAAACTAAAAACTACAAAAGAAGGAAACACCCACTCTCCGGCCTGCGGAAGGGGAGGTCTAGAGGAATCCTCGCAGGAAAATAAGAAGATAAAGGAAAGAACACTCTCTCTCCAGCCTGCAGAAGAGGAGGTTCAGGGGAATCCTCGAAGGAAAGCAAGAAGAGGAAAGAACACTCACTCTCCGGCCTGCAGAAGTGGAGGTTCGGGGGGATCCTGGGCGTGTCCGGCAGGAGCTGCAGCGAGACGAGGTAGTGGGCGACCCTCCCGTTGGGCCTCCGGGGCGGGTGCCACTCCAGGGCGACCGTCGAGCTGTTCCTCGAGACCCACTCGAGGCCCACGGGCTCGGTCGGGTCTGGGGAGGGAGGGGGGGGGGGTGAGAGGAAGCTGGTGGTGGTGGGGCGACGGAAGGGCTGTTGGGGGTCGTAGGTGGTTGCTAGAGGTTATTAATGGTGGTTAGTAGTTGTCAGCTGTTGTTATTGGTTGATAGTGGTTGTTAGTAATTGTCAGTGGTTGTTGGTGGTTGGGTGTGCGTTTGTTAGTGGCGATGGTTATGACGATATGAGGAAGGGTAGAGGTCGTGATGGTGATGTGGTGTGGTGGCGACGATGATGGTGCGAGGGAAGTCAAGGGCGTGGCTATGGTGAAGTTGAGTGTTAAAAGAGAGAAATAGTGGTGACAGAGGACAGTGAAGATGGTGATAACGGTTGAAAGGGGGAGAGTAGTGATAGTGCGGATGTTAACTATGATGATTCGTCCTCCGGAAGCAGTCCCAAGTGTGATGAAAAGGAAGAAGAAATTCTATTGAGTGCAGTAAGTCTCCGGAAGAATAGACGAGGAGTGAGAGAGACAGTGGTAATGAAGGTGCAACAGAAGATATAAGGGTTTGATAACAGTTGGAATGCAGTGTTGGTGATAATGATAATGGCAATGGGAGAAAGGCACATTGAAAAGACAACAGTAAAGTAGTATTGATGGTGTAAATAAGGTAGCTTGAAACAGGTAACCCCACTCCTTCTTGATGAAAATC